AAAAAAAAAAAAAAAAAAAAAAAAAAAAGATAAAAAAAATGGTCAACAAGTATATGGAAAAATGCTCAATATCGCTAATTATCAGGGAAATGGAAATTAAAACCACAATGTGATACCACCTCACTTCTGCAAGAATGGCCATAATCAAAAAAATAATAGATGATGGTGTGGATGTGGTAGAAAGGGAACATGTTTATGCTACTGGTGAGAATGTAAACTATTATAACCACTATGGAAAACAGTGTGGAGAGTCCTTAAAGAAGGAAGATTTACCATTTGATCCAGCAATCCCATTAATAGGTATCTACCTAGAGGAAAAGTCATTACATGAAAAAGATACTTGCATACATGTGTTTATAGCACAATTTGTAATTGTAAAAACATTGAACCAGCTCAGATGCCCATCAATCAATGAGTGGATACAGAAAATGTGGTGTGTGTGTGTATACACACAACACATATATGTATATACATATATATACATGTACACATGTGTATATATACATGTGTATACATATACATGTATATATGTGTATATATACATATATGCATATACATATATGTATATACGTGTATATGTATACACGTATATGTATATATATACATATACATGTATATATACACGTATATACATATATACATATACATGTATATATATACACATATATACATATACATGTATATATATACACATATATACATATATACATATACATGTATATATACACACATATATGTGTATACACACACACCATGAAATACTACTCAGCCATAAAAAGGAATGAAATAATGGCATACACAGCAACCTGGATGAAACTGGAGACTATTATTCTAAGTGAAGTAATTCAGGAATGGAAAACCAAACATCCTATGTTCTCAGTCACATGTGGAAGCTAAGTTATGAGGATGCAAAGGCAATTAAAAATGATACATTAGACTTTGGGGGCTCGGGGTAAAGGGTGGAAAGTGAGGGCTAAAAGACTACACACTGGGTACAGTGTACCCTGCTCAGGTGATGGACACACCAGAATCTCAGAAATCACCACTAAAGAACTTATTCAAGTAACCAAACACCACCTGTTACCCAAAAACCTATTGAAGTAAAAAAATTATAAAAATTTTTTAAATCATGTAATTTATTCTAAGGGTTTTTACAAAACGGTTAATGAAAATTATACATACATAAGAAGTACAGTATAACAGAACAACTTAACGTTCCAATTCTTTGTTGCAAAACAAAAAATATAGTATGTGTATAGACTTAATATTGTTAAGATGAGAATTCTCCTCAAACTGATCTATAGACTTAAATTTAAAAATCAGATCAAAATCTTAACAGACTTTATGTAGACATTGACAAGCTAATTCTAAAATTTATGTGAAAATCAAAGGACGTATAATAGCAAAACAACTTGAGAAAAAGAAAGTTGGAAGACTAACATTATGTGATTTCAAGACTTATTATAAAGCTATGGTAATTAAGACAGTAGTATAAAGACAGACATATAGACCAAGAGGACAAAATGGAAATTTTTGAAACAAATACGGCCTATTGACTTTTGGCAAACGTGTCAAGGCAATTTACTGGAGATAGTCTTTTCAACAAATAGTGCTGGGACAACTGGATATTCAGATGCAAACAAAATAAATATTGATCCTCAATCATATCCTATACAAATATGAACTTGAATTGGATCTGAGACTTAAAAGTATAAAAATTTTATAAGAAAATGTAGGAGAAAATCTTAGTTATTTGAGTTAAAGATTTCTAAACAAGATACACATGGCTCAAATTGTAAAGAGAAAAAAAATCACTAAACAGGACTTGAAAACTTTTGCTCTTCCAAAGACACTAAAAGGCAAACCACAGACTGAAGGAAATATTTATTCCTGACAAAGAATGTGTGTACAGAATAAATAGCTTCTACAAGTAGGTAAGAAGATAACCCAATTTAAAAAGCGAGTAAGTACTTGAACAGGCAAACACACAAAAAATACGGTGAACATTGTGATAAACAGGAAAATGCAAATTGAAACTACAATAAGATGCCACTACATATCAATAAACTGGCAAAATTAAAGATTGACAATACCATCTGTTGGCAAGGCTGTGGAGTGCTTGGAACTTTTATTCCTTAGTGGTGGGATTGCAAACTGATGCAGTCACTTTAGAAAACATTTAGGCAGGTTTTTAAAAAGTTAAACATGCAGTTGCCATACGATCTAGCAAATTCACTCCTCTGTGTGTGTGTGTGTGTAATGTTTTTTTTTTTTTTTTTTTGACAGAGTCTCACTCTGTTGCCCAGGCCAGAGTACAGTGGCATCATTTCAGCTCACTGCAACATCTGCTGCCCAAGTTCAAGTGATTCTCCTGCCTCAGCCTCCCAAATAGCTGGGATTACACGCTCCTGCCACCATGCCCAGCTAATTTTTGTATTTTTAGTAGAGGCAGGGCTTCACCCTCTTGGCCAGGCTGGTCTTGAACTCCTGACCTCATGATCCACCTGCCTCGGCCTCCCAAAGTGCTGGGATTATGGGCGTGAGCCACTGCGCCCAGTCTCCTATGTATATATTCAATAGAAATAAAAACATACATCTACAAAAAGAGCTGTGTGTAAATGTTCATAGAAACTTTATTGATAATGGACACCTATGTTGTTTCCAGAATTTGACCATTAACTGGTAAACAGGTAAATTGTGGTATATCCATGTAACTGAATACTATTCAGCAAATAGGAACAAATTTTTGATACTGGCACAACATAAACAAAACTCTAAAATATTATGGTAAGTGAAAGAAGCCAGACATAAAAACTACATATGATTCCATTTATACGAAATTCTAGAAAAGGGAAAGTAACATGCTAGAGGCCAGCAAGGAGGCAACGGGACTGACTGCAAAGGGGCACGAGGAAACTTTCAGGCTGATGGAAACGTTACCACAATTGTGGCTGTGATTACAAGACTATACATTTGTCAAAACTCAAAGAACTATATACTTGAAAACCAGCAAATTTTACTCTATATAAGTGGGACCCCCTCCAAAAAAAAAAAGTGCAGAAAAAAAGAAGAGTGGCAAAGTTCAAGGAGCAATTGAGCCCAAACATAAAACAAGGACTAAACACAAATGCTAAGGTCCGTAATCTTTCAAGGTATATTTTGAAAGAGATAAATGAAGGTTTTTAGAACATGGCAAACCATCATGTTTGTCAACTGAGAGCATGCACAAGTACACACAAACCTACCAAAACCAGAGGGCTGTTCTGCAGAATCATCCACTCCAGGAGTTGAACTGGATGCTGCTGTGGAAGGCTGAGTTTGCTTTGGCTGAGTCTGACTGTTGCTGAGTTCAGACTGGCTCCCGTATGCTGACTGCTCTGACTGGGTAAGAGAGGTATAGCATTCTTCCAATTTGGGCAGTATGGAAGAATCTGAAGAACCATTTAAGTCTAGTTGCTGCAGAATGGAAACAAAAGGGGCAAAAGTATGAAAAACAAATGTTAGTATAATAAGAATTAGGCCCTATTTCCTTACTTAAAGGCAAAATACAAGTATTTCCGTATCATAAAATGAAACTACTCACTATCAAGAACCTATAGACTCTCTAGAAAAAGCAAGTCCTTCTCTATCTTAATGAACATAAATTCAAGAAAACATTTACGGAACACATCCCATAAGCAAACATGGCATACAATGCTACCATACAAAGGCTGGGAAAGAGGGGCAGAGCACGAGAGAAGTGATGCTCACCGAGCACTCTGTGTCAGGCACAGTGCTAGGTTATCTGCATGTGTTTCTTCATTTGAACATCAGAACAAGTGTCCTAGGTAGGTGCTGCTATGTCTTCTTCACTTAGCATAATGCTTTTACAGAGTGGTTAAGTTATCCAATGTCCATCAGTAAATGGCAGGGTGTAGATTTGAACATCAGGCCGGTCTGTGCTCTCTGTGCTCTACCACACCACCTCCCAGTCAGACAGGATCCCTGACCCTAAGGGCCTCTGAGTCCTCCATCAGGGAAACTGTGTGTGTGTAGCTAGCCATGAAAGGAGGCAAGAGCTGCGTGCTCCTTGGAAGGGCCAAAAAAGCCAGAGTTTGGGAGAAAAAGATGAACTTCCAAACTCAGATTGAACTTAAGTAAATGGAGTGCCAAATTTTAACCATTATGAATTAGACCCCATTTCCTGCCATATACTCATTGCTGAAGTAAGTGTACTCTATGGCCATTTAATAGCACTGATCTTTGATGATGTCAACTGGCACTGACACGAGTAAAGAGGACCCCATCAGACTAAGCTATGACAAACTGAACTAAGTGGTTTAGAGTCTGGGATCTGCCTAGAACAAACTGAAACAATAATTGTACAAACAGATGTAGGCTTGTTTTTCAGGCTCATATGCAACACACATTTAATATCAGCAAATGTTACTTCTGGGGCAAAAATCTATAGCAGCTTACTTTCAAAGATGGCTGACATGAATGTGGCTTATATAATTACATAATATACAAATACCTGTGTGAGAATTTTTTTTTCAACCAAAAAAGGTTTTTAAAATTCCAGATAGCTATACTGGGCCATACGTTATTTCAGGAAACCAAAGACCAAGACTCAAGTTTTTGCATAGCTTATGCAATTCACATGTATACATGAGCTACCCTTTATCTTCATTTAAAATGAGGCTAAGAATCACTGAATTTTTTCAATAAAGCAGCAATAATAATTAGGTAAATCAATATTTATTAATCTCATAAATTTTTTAAGCTGCAGAGATTACTAGTTCAAATCAGTCTTTGCAAGTGAGCAAACTCAGGGCACAAAAGGTAATTTGTTTCAACTTGCTAGTCAGTGGTCAAAACTAGGCCCTTGATTATAGCACTCCCAAGCCTGTGCTTTTTACATTATGCCCTACTGCCTACGTTTAGCTGTTTAATAGATAACATACAGAAACATTTTTTAAAAGCTGTATCTTCTTTCTTGACAAATGTCATTTAAGAAAGATGCACTGTTGACACGTATTTAAGATGCATGCTGATAGCTTTTACTCTGAATTTCACTCTAGATTTGTATAACATTTGAAAGCAAGTATGTGTAGTCAATTTAAGCCATTAATTAAAAAAAGAGTCTTTCCCTTCTAACAGTAATATACAGCCTTACTACTCAAAAGTGGTATTCACTCATCAGCAGCATCAGCATTATTTGGAAGCTTGCTAGACATGAAGAGCTTTAGTTCCTACCCCAGATATGCTGGCTAAGAATCTGCATTTTAACAAGACTCCCAGGTGACCTGTATGCACATTATAGTTTGAGAAGCACTGCTCTACCAGATTTATTCTTCTGTAGTTGCAAATGACTGACTCCCTCAAAATTGTTTGGAAATATACCATGATGGAACTACAGGTTAGTCTCAAAAACATGTTCATAATTTATGAAATATGAACAAAGTCCCCAAATCACCTCATATCTACTACAATGGCTATAATAAAAAAGATAGTTACAATTGTTAGCAAGAACACCAAGTGCTGACATGGACAAACTGGAGTACTCTTAAATTGCTGGGATGAATGTAAAATAGCACCGCTGCTCTGGAAAAAAGCCTGGTAGTTCCTCAAAATGTTAAACATAGGGTTACCATGTTTATCTAGTTACATACTAAGATAAATGAAAACATAGCAAGGAGTAAGAAAACAGCATAGGGCAGAACTCTGGGAGACACCACAGGAAGCAAACCTAGAAATTACGTCAGGAGGTAGGAGGAAAAAGATCATGGCATCACAAAAGCCAAAGGAAGATTATGTTTCAAGAAGGAAATGCAAGGTTAATTTCAAATAGTACTGAGCAATCAGGTACTGTAAGGTTAAAACATGTGCCCCTAATTTAGCAACATAAGAATAGATGGTAACTTGAAGGATAATCACTGCAATATTGTTTACAGTCACAAAATCTTAGAAACAGATATTCATCAGAACTATTTAAATCAGTTATGGCACATCCATACTCTGCAGGAGTTAAAACACTGAGGTAGGTTTGTAAGTACGGATAGAAAGGTGCTGAATGGTATGTGTATTATGTTCTCATGCATGCGTTTAGTTTCTAGGAAGGATACACAAGAAACTGCTTATGGTGGAGTTGGATTAGAAGAGGCAAGGATATCTTATTTCTGTAACCTGCAGAACTACTTGAATTTTAAAATCCTGCAAATGTGGTACTTTTATAATTTTCAAAGGCAAAACCTGTTTGTCTACGTAGAGGATGAAAAACAAGTGTGGTAGCTAGAAAGACTATGGGATCAAAAATTTCTTAAATGTTTAAATTTTGTTTAGATGGAAGGTACATAAACATGTTTAAATGCTTATGAGAATGTGCCAGTAGAAAGAGGCTGAAGATACAGACAGCAGGAGAGGACTGTGTCCTAAGCAGCTTCCAGTCCCATCTTTTGGATAAAGGGTATTCACCCTGCATGGTAAATACAGGGCGCCTTAGAATAGGAGTAGAAAAAGGGGTGGAAAATGAAAACTTCCTGAAGAAATACACCTTAAGAATACCTTAAGAAGTTCATTACGACACAGTAAAGATTTTACCTTGGTAAATTCTCTTCATGGGATATAAATAATAGTGTAAAGCTACATGATAGAAAGTTTGAGGACTCAGATTACCTGATTTCAAAACTTACTAATTAGCAGGCCGGGCGCGGTGGCTCAAGCCTGTAATCCCAGCACTTTGGGAGGCCGAGGCGGGTGGATCACGAGGTCAAGAGATCGAGACCATCCTGGTCAACATGGTGAAACCCCGTCTCT